TCTCTCTCTCTCTCTCTCTCTCTCTCTCTCTCTCTCTCTCTCTCTCTTTCCCCAGAAATGCATATATTATTAACACACACCTCTGGCTCTTGCCAAAGACCGAACCAAGGTTCAGGCCAAGCTCCTCCGCATTTTAATCGCCCATAATGAAACAAGAAATACTGAATAAACGTGTTTGAATCCTGCCAGTGCGAGTCACAGCAATTAATGTATGTCTTTCATACAGTATGTGCAGATCATCTTAACAGGTCTCCCTGCACAATGTTTCAACCCAATGTGCCGTATCCTTTGAGACACATGCTGAGAGAGGCATGCCAGTGCATGGATATCAAAATCAATCAGGCCGCATCCGACCACCAAAATTCACAGTGAATCAGAGCTCGTATTCCAGCAGATAATGCATATCATGTCGGTCCTGCTGTCAGGGAGACATTACTGTAACTGTAGAATTAGCTGTGCACGGGCTCCCACTGTGGAGGTTGTGTTTAACCTCTCCTGCAGTGTTTTTTCTGCAGTGGCATGCCTTCCGAGGGCACGGCTCTGTCAGACGAGTGCGGAGAAGCTCTGGCGGGAGGCGTCCCCGGTGACTAGCATGGCCTCTTTTCATCTTCTGCTTCCCTCCTCTCTTTGAACAAACACAAGGGCTCAGGGCAGGAATCTGTCAGAGGTCCACCGCTCGCAGAGAGAAGAGAATTGTGCTGCTGCAAGACTGCTGAAACCCCAAATACAGTACTACTTTTGAGCTTTCTCAACTAAAGGATTGCATCTATCGTTTTGTTTTTTTAAACAACCGAGAGGGGTCTGCTTTCTAATTCTGATGGTGGGAAGTGTTCACAAGGCAAGCTGAAAATGAGAAAAGTCTGAGTTTGTCCCTTTTATCACTGGTTTATTTATACTGGTAAACATCAAACAGAAACAACAGCAAAATCAAGAGCTGACGTCCTCCCCTACTTGTGATTATCGTTTCTCTTACATCGACAAGTTCATTTACAATGGTTGCCATCGACATGATAACGTCAGTGAGTAAAAAATATGGAAATGGAACATTCCTCTGGATCTCATCCACGCGTAATATCAGATTACGTCCCGCACCTTTCACGCTGTTGGTGTTGGTTCAATTGTCGCTCAAATCAGCCATGACAGGAATCCTATCAGAGTTGAGTCTTTATGTAATTATGTGATAAAAATGTATCGATTCAAACCGGAGGGCAGTATTAGGCTGAGTCGACTTGTGCCACAAAAATACTGCATTGTGCTGTGTCTGCGGGTGTCAGCATGACAAGATGGAGCGCTGTCTTTCTACTACATTCTGTTCCGACACCTCTGGGATGTAAAGCAAATTGGTAATCTCTCCAAAGGTAATTAAGACATGTCACCGTCTGTCTGTGGAGCCGGAGACAAGGATTTGCGTTCAAAGTCTACAGAGGCTGTGTTTCTTTGTTTGTTATAATACAGTATGACAAGGTTACTGTATTCGATACCACATGAACACATAAGGTTGCACTGAGATATACAGCATCTCACACAACTAAACATTTTTGTACATGACATTGTTTTATACATTGTTGTGCCTTCCGTCAAAGTTTGATCAAAAGTCGTTATAAAGACGACTTTGATTGGTTATAAGGTAAAAAACAAATGTGAAACGTTTCCCATAATCCTGTATGCCTCCCTCTGCCCTATATATATATATATATATATATATATATATATATATATATATGAGAGAAGCTTACAGGTCCCTCAATAGAGAGCACAAAAGCTCCAAACAAGGCATAAAATCCCTGTGTGTTCCACAACGGGCCACAGATCCAACGCAAGAAAACGAGACAACGCAGGTCTTAAACCTCAAATCATAAAGTGCTCTCCAGAAGCCACTCAGACTTGGAGAGCTTGTCCCTGGCCCGTCGAATGTTTGTTGTGTTCTCCAGCTGCGGCAGCTCTCCGCTCATCGACAGGCTCCGCTTGGAGCGCAGGCTAGCCCCGGGTTTGGGGTAGGCCATGTAGCAGCGCTCCCTATATGAGTCTGCGTTGAGGGAGTGCCTGCGGTTCACCCTCACTCCCGATGCAGGCACTGTCATGTAATGTTGAGGGGCCTGTTGGGGCCGCGGACCCCTGGGAACAGCAGTCCACTTGGTGGGCTGGCCGGGAACGGCCAGAGCGACGGCGGCGGTCATTTTAACCTCTGACGACGAGTTATTCCGGTTCATGTTATTGAGCTCGACGTCCACCTGAGCTTCTGCCCGGTGAGCCTCTGAGGATTTCGGTGGAGCGCTGGAACGTTTGGGCCTCGGAGCGCCCGGGGAGGCCGGGTGCCAGCTGTGACTGGCAGCAGAGGTAGAGACGGTGCAGTCAGGGACGCAGGGTTTGGTGGTAGCTACAACGACCGGCGCACGCTGCTTGGTCGGCTCCGGGGGCGGCAGGGTGATTCTGAGGCACTCCTTTTCATTTTTCTCTGGACGCAGAATCTGCTTGGAGAGGGACTTTGGAATCCCGCAGCCCTGTAGCTGCCCATCACTGCTCAGTGACCGAATATCCCCCATCTCTAGGGCCTGACATGACCGGAGAGAAGCATGAAAGCAATGATTCAATATCAAAAGAAATAATGAGCAGAAAAAGAACAGAACAATGCCAAACTGACCTTATCTGCATCTCCTTGGTTACACACCCGGTAGCGCACAATGAGGAAGATGATAAAGGCGAGCACTGAGGCCACGATAATCCCTCCAATGATAACCACAATGGTGCCGCCAAGAAACTGGGACTGCATGAAATGACATCTCAGGTACTGCGGCTCTGTGGTGAAGTGGATGCAACCTATCACCCTGGTGGCGGTCAGCGAGGTCACCTGGTCATCGTAGATGGCCAACACGCACAGGTCATACTGCGTACCGGCCGCCAGGTTGTTTACCAGGATGCTCTTACTGGTTGGGGGTATCATTCTGTAAAAACAAACAACAACACCTTTTGTGAGTTCTGACATAGATTAGGGAGGGTTAAATGAAAGGAGACAGAAGCAAATCAGATTATCCAGCTTGTTGTTTTGAAGGGATGAAATGACATGACAATCCTTTATCTCTCAGGAGCCTATTTAAGATCTGACTTGGCATAGTCTTTTGTGACATTTGATTTATTTTTCTCCAGCATCTTTACTGATAAAAGATTGCTTTTAGTCGCTGGGGATGCAGGATGCCTCTTTTTTTGTCAGGATTGCCACCTCCTGAATTCAGTAGCCACTGCCAAACACCACATGTGTAGTTGACTTTGAGTTTCTTTGGAAAAATAAGTGGTCTGTGCGGCAAATCCTGTCACATCATAGTGATTAGCACTAAATAGGGAGAGAAAGAGGGCCGAGATGAAAGAATGTTGCGTACACCGGTTTCTCAGATGGGCATGTGCGAAAGCCTCTGATGCTTTCCGTAAAACACTGGCTGACTCTTTCATCTTCCTATCAGTCCGCGGCTTAGTGCTGACATTCGTGTTTTGATTTTGTTGATTAAGCATTATCAAGGTTTTGCACATAGTAAATGATACACTCCGGGGAGGAGGGGGATTATGAGTGAAAGAATAAGGAGTCAGATACAGTGCATTAGTCCGTCTTCCTTATGGGATTAATAGACTCCATAAATAATCATGGCGACAGCCAATCCAGTTCCTAAAGACGAAATATTTAGAGGGATTTAAGCAATCAAAGCAGAATATAAAGGTAAAACAAGGGTGAAGGATTTTTGATGATATGATTCCAAATCAGCTTAAGTTTATTGGCATCAATTCAGACTCAGATTTAAGGCTTGTTCACCAGCGTTATAAGAAAAAGCAGTATTTTAAGAAAAAGAGAAGCTTTGTAGTAACCCAGCAGGTCAGGTATAGCTGTTTACCTGTAAACCAGTGAATCATCATAGCTGCCGTTATATTGGATCTGAAACATGCGTATTCCAGGAATGCTCCTCTGGAAGTTAAACTTGACCAGGGCCGAGGTGGACGTGGCATCGGCAGTCACTACTTTCTTCTCCTGGATCGTCTTCGCGTTCCCGAGAGGCAACCCTCCTCCGTCTGCACCCGTCTTGGTCACTGTGGCGATATCTGATGACCCGGGGTCGGGCTCCTGCTCTGCGACTGTGTTGTTGGTGATATGAGGGAGTTTAGCGATGACCAGATCCACCGTCTGCTGCGCCTCCCCTGCCGGGTTGGAGGCCACGCAGGTGAAGGAACCTGGAACACAAACTGAATCGATTATCGTCCTTCCTAATATTTATTGTGATATACAGATTAGTGTTGAGGGCCACACATGCATTCAAGTTGCAATATAAACATATCTAATCGTAATTAAATAAAATTGTTTGCCATTTGGGGAACTATACGAAGCCCCCATTCCTGAAAGAATTTTTCTTTTTATTTATTTTGAGCGCACAAATATTGGAATTCAGAGGCTCCATGGTAATGCGCTTTTTTGATTTCCTGCCGAGAGTTAGGTGATCGAATGATACCATTTTGTAAATATAAGACTACAGCAGTCAGTTAGCTTAGCTTAGCATAAAGACTGGGTGAAACAGCTAGCCTGGCTCAGTGCAAGAGGAACCTGCTAGCACTAATTAACATGTTATATCTTTTCTATTGAATCCAGACAACAACATAAGTGTAACAACAACAAATGGTGGTTTTACTGGAGTTTTGAGTGTGCCCCCGGGCCATGAAATGGGGTACAGTAAAATCACCACTCTCCGTTTTTACACTGGTGTTTTTGTACAGATTAAACAAACATGATATGGTTTGTTAATTAGTGAGTTTAAGAGATGCTGGAAGGTGGCTTTTGTTGTGTTTGGACAGAGTCAGGCCAGCTGTTTCCCTCTGTTTACAGTCTGCTAAGCTAAGCTAACTGGCTGCTGGCTGCACTGTAGCTTCATATTTAATGGACAGACAATGTGAGAAAGTATTTTTTTATTCCATTGTGACCTCAATCAGTGTGCAAGCCAGCAGTCTTCCACACTCTAAACTTTATCGCCTGATGTAGACAAATACTTCAGTCCTACAGCCTTCTGAGGACACGAGCAAACAGCTAATTTTGTTCAGTCAACAACACAAGCGCAGCCCCCGGGGTGCAAACAGACCAGAGTCCTTGACGGTGCTGATGAGGATGTCCAACGTGCCGTCTGTGTGGACGGCGGCCCTGGAGGAGTTGGACATAAGGCGTCCATCAGGGGCAATCCAGTGGATAATGGGGTCGGGGTCGCCCCTGGCCTTACAGCGCAGAGTCACACTCTGACCCTCCAAGGCTCGCAGCTCCTGAAGTACAGGGAGGAAAGGCAGTTAGTGGGAGGACTTCAGCAGAAACTGAAAAACACTGACAAACAGTTATCTGTTGTGCTGTAAGTTTGTTTACAATATTATAATCAATGCCCTTATTGATGATGTTGTGTTTAAAAGCTTAATTCCCTATAAATATTATCAACAATTGATCATTGTCTAGATATTGAGTTAGCATGCTTATGAAGGAAAGATAATCAATGTGACGGTACACTGCAGTGAATGTGATGGAGTCCAAGTTAAATGTAATTTCCTCTGCAATTATGCAAAAGAAGTCTGCAGAATGTAAATGAGATGATATAGCTGTAGCTGTTTGGCAAGGATTTGATCAGATAATTTTGTTTGTATGCATGAATCAAGGGCTAAACCACTCTAAGCTTTCCCTGTGTGATAAGAGCTTCACCGCGGATCCATCATAAACCTGCAAATAGCTTTATTAAAATGGTAACTGAAAATACTGCTACAGAACGTCTCTAAAAACTCTCCACAGGCCACAGTTTGATTACATTTTTTAAGTAAGTCCAATATATTTTACAATATTTTGTTGGCTGAGCGGCCCAGATGAGTCTTGTAAGACTCTCCTGGCTTGCAAAGCTAATATTTGGTCTGACAGTCAAAGAAAGCATAAAGCGCCACCTCGGATTAACTGAGGCAGAAACCAATGTCTGGCTCAGAGAGTGCAACAGTAGGGAGTGTTGTGTCTACGCAGCTCAATTTGGGGGTTATACCTGAGAGTGCCTGGTGATGAGAGGAGGCTCACACAGGAACTCTTCCTCGGAAACTGTCCAGAAATAGCGTCCGGCGAGGTGTTGCGGTGTGGCACAGGTCTCCAGATCATCTTCCCTCCGCAACCTCCGCAGCCAGAGCAGCTCACAGTTACACCTCAGCGGGTTTCCTCCGAAGCTCAACGCGAACGACATCGGCCCCATTATCCCAGAAGTGGCCAGGACCCCCGCTCTTTGGAAAATTGGGTCGGGAGGAAGCTTCTGGAGCTTGTTGGAAGTCACGTCCAGCCTCTTGAGCTTCTGCAGTCCAGAGAAGGTGCCCTCTGGGATGTAGCTGAGCATGTTGTGGTCCATATTGAGAGTGTGGAGATTGGGCATCCTCTGAATGGCCACCCATGGCGCACTTTCCAAGTTGTTGTAGGATAAATCCAGCTCTTCCAGCGCCGTCAGATCATTGAAGGCCCCGATCTGAATGTGGGTGAGCTGGTTGTTGTTGAGGATGAGGTGGTGCAGCTTGGACATGCCGCTGAAGGTGTCGTTGATGATGCGCGCTAGCCGGTTGCTATCGAGGTGAAGGGCTCGTAGGTTCTCCAAGTCTTTGAAAGCGAGCGGCGCGATGGAGCCGATGGTGTTCCGAGAGAGGGTCAGGTCCACCAGCTTGGTCATGTTGGCAAAGTCTCTGCGTTTGATGTTGGTTACAAAGTTATCCCCGAGGCGCATCTCCACCGTGTGCCTGTCGATATTCGGGGGCACAAAGAGAAGCCCCTTTTTGTCGCACAGAGTCGCCAGGTTGGGGTTAAGCACCTGGCAAACGCAGCGTTTGGGGCAGACCTGAACTTTGTGAGCCTTCACAGCCACGCCGAGGACTATCAGGTAAACCAGGAGATACTCCATTTGGCTTCTCAGTCAGGTTATACACCTAAAGCACATCAAATCAAAAAGAGAGAAACAGAAGGTTGCATTATTCATTAAGGAGATTTTTATTTGTATCATCTTCATCAAACTGTAATTTCTGTGGTTGGCTAATCACACTTGCACTGAGAAGGGAATTCAAAAAGAGAATTTGGGGAATTGCCGAACTGCTGTGTAAGGTTAAAGCTTTTCCGCTACATTTGAAACACCATCATTGCCAGCTCACAGCTGAGAGTTACGGAGAGTCCAAATTCTAAGCAGGAGAGAGAGAGTCGACGCCTGAACAAACAATAAATGCTGTGCTATCCCACATGAAACAAATTAGTCACCTGCAGACTTGAGAGTGAAACATTAATAAGTCATCTTGAATATTTTTTCTGACAGCTCTCCTTTTTAGCTCCCTGCTTCCCCAATCATACTCTTTTTGATATGATAATGCCAGTCCTTTTTATGTTTGTGGACAGAAGGATGAAAGTCTAGACTGGCAGTCCAAGGCCTCATCAGAATTAGACTGATATCTCCCAGGATCATATCGCCAATAGGAGGGGATGATTGGGCCCAGTGCCTCAGCGAGGATGTGCTATGCCTTGCTATTGATTTTCTCTCTGCTGCTACTCTTACTTATGACACAGCTGAGATGGGGATAAGGAGGGATCCATTTGATGAATCCTGAGACCTTGTCAGGGATATAGCATGTCATAAAACTAAGACAGCAGAGATCAGATCGCAGCTCTGCAGGTGCACTACACAATGTACTGGAGCGAGAGTGACATTCGCTGCGATTATTCTTAGAACTGAAATTTAGTGTCATTTTGGTAGAACATGCAATATTCAGCCCTCTGGGTGTCCCATTACAGCACACAGAAAGGTACACCAATCCAATCAAACACAGGGAACAAGAGATCCAATCCCACAACTGTAGTAAAAATCCAAAGGCTAACCTTTAACTACAGGGGAGAACGGCTGATTTATGATTACAGCTTTTTTGTGGTCTGCTGGTAATGTCTCCATTGTAGATGTCGGTTCTTGAAGAGTGTGCTTGAAAGTCTTGCCTCAGCAAAGAGCATGCCAACTGAGTACCTATGCCTCAAAAGCCTCTGTCGCACCGGAGCTGTGACATACAACTCACAGTGTAATAACCTTGACAGTCGGAGTATGAGGAAAATATCATAGAGTAATGAAAACATGGGTGGGAGAGACATCCTTACCATGCACCCCCCCTCCCTCCCCTTTGCTTTTGATGTGAGGAGGTGAGTGAAGGAAGCCTGGTGCCATCCACTGACAACAGATGCAATTTGTCAGCTGGGTAAAACCTATCGCAGACTTGCAAAGGAGGCAGGAGAGAGGTCGCTTTAAAATGGCCCATAATAGCAAAGGGAGGAATGATATCATTTGAGGAAGCACACCGGGTGTGACATTTTCATGAATACTGCTGATCGAGCAGCAATGAATCAATGTCTTTCTCGACCCATTTCTACACGGGACAACTTCACCGAGTCACACAAGAGCCCCGTTTTTGTGGATTGTAGTCTGGGGTGCAGTGCTGCACAGATCTGAGCTGCTGAAAAACGGCCTGTGGAGTCACTATTAAATGTTGTCAAGACGCTCCTTAAAGATGGCAGATGACTTCAGCGTCAAGCTGGCCTGCAAAGCTATGTGGTAGTGGTACCTAAGTGGAAACTACTTTACGTGTGTGTGTGTGTGTGTGTGTGTGTGTGTGTGTGTGTGTGTGTGTGTGTGTGAAAGCTGAGGTGTACGCAAGTGTGTCCGTATTGGTGTGCCAACCGGCTTCTGCTCTGACTCTCAATGGCACGGCCTCTGGATGTGCAATGAGGCGGAGAGGACCTGCTACTTCCAGACCCCAATGACGCTGAAGACGTGATATTGATTCACTCTGTGGAGACGGGGCTTTTTTTTTTTTTCTTCTTTTTTCGCTGCTGAAAACTCAACCAAACGTGAAGAGAATGGTTGCAATGGTAATCCCTAAAAATTTTGTCCTGTGATGACAAAGGGACAGCCCCTCGCTGCCGAGACGGAGCAGGAACTGTCCGTTGCCGTCTCCCTAATTTGCATTTAATTATGGTTGTTCCAAGGAGATTTGCATAACAGGTTGCACTCATCAGGTACATGAACAAATAACTAGATAATCAATCAATGCATTTATCAATCACACACTTCATCTTTAAATGTCACATCCCCAGAAAATCATTATCCTCCAGGTTGAGCTGTTCATTATGGTGAGGAGACTTGGGAGGGCCACAAATAAACAATAAAACCGGTAATCTACTGATGCATTAACCATAATCTCCCTCATAGTCAATCAAATATTCGTTTACTACCTCTGAGCAGGTCTTTTTCCCCTCCGAGGACAGAACAGACTGACAGCTCACACCCACACACGCACACCGGTGGGTGGATTTGTGCCTAATAGAGGTAGCTCACTACACAACAACCCCCAGCAATGGATACAGACATTCATGTGCAGCAGCAGTATACTGTAGCAGAGGATATCTATGGTCTCCCTGGGGCTGCATTCGCCAAGAAAAGCCTTATGCAGCAAACTGCATGCCAGTCGTCCAGTGAGGTAATGGGGGATATGTTCTCAGATGGTCTCACTTATGCTGGAGCTCATGTGAGAAAGCCTTCTGCAGTCCACGTCTGGGAAGGGAACCAGGGAAAGCAGCCCTGTTGAGGGGAAGTTAACGAGATGCAGTCTGCTCGGTGTGCCTCCACGCAGGTCGACGCGATGGCACATCGCAGCGTCTCGGCATTGTCTCACCTGGGTTCCTCTGGGAGAAGCCGCCCGGCGTCTGCCACCACATGAAATAAGCTCTGTTGGGTCATGGAGGTAAACTGATGCGGCAACATGATGGTAAAATGGTATCGACAAAGCAGTAAAATATTTAGGTCCTCGGCCTGCTCGCTTTATGAGACCAAATGGAGCTGCTGCAGCAGCTGAAGAGGATCATATTCTGTCTGAGCTGGTAGAAATTCTATTTTGTCGGGTAAATGCTTGTGTAGCCCCGAGTCCAAACATCCTGACCAAACACTGATGCCGTTACAGACCGTCTAACCAACACATCTGTGTTTGTGAATGAGGGTGTGTGCTGTGACACCCTTTTCCTACACAGTCCGCCAATGTTAGAATGCGATAGCTCTTGGGTGACAGCCTTGATGCCATGGCAACACAGGAAACGTCAGTTTTGGGTGAGATGTAATCAGTGGCTCATTTTCAGATCACCTAATAATATTTCGAACAAAGAGTCCTCGACAATTGAGGTTCTGTTTGAAGGCCAGAGCCGACTCATTGTACCATCTATGACTCTGTGGGGATGAGAGGCAGGGAGACTGTGCACTCAGCTAATTTTGCATTGGATTCAGTGTTTGGAGTGACTGAATCATTACCGTTTTCCCAATCTTGCGCGTAATAAAAACCTAAATGACTCGATGTAGCACTCTGATGTAGTTCAAATTATTTCTCTGTCTGACAAGCTTGTGTGTGTGTGTGTGTGTTTGTGTCACGGGTATAGCATACAAAGCAGACCCAACTGCATCAATAGAAGTGCTGTTCATCAGCATTTACAACTCCCCCCTTGCATTTCCAAATGTTTTCCTTCACACACTCACACAGGAAATTCAGTGATACCTTGATACGCTGGCTATCTCCTCACCGGAGCATCAGTCCAACAAAATAAACAAACAAGCACAGAAAACACTCTTCATGTTCTAGATGCTGTCTTGTTTTGCAGTGGGAGGCCAAACTGAAATGCTGATCACTGACTTTGGATCTTAATTCTTTCACCGTTGTGACGTACCCTCGATTTGAGGGGCTTATGAACTGGGATTTTCTTCCGGAAAGAGCGATGCACAACCTGTGAACGCCACCTCTGAATACCAATATGGCCTCCTCAAGTGAATATTCCCCACAGTACGGGCCCACACGTCTGTGGACTGTCAAATTGGCCAATTTAGGGTGCAAGTGTAAGAAAAAATGAAATCTTAACCTCTCTTTCATTCATGTTAGTGTCTAAATGTGGGGAAATAACGACAGCCAACCTGAAGTCCACGATCACTCTATTGACTAATTTTCCCTCTTTCAAAGACACTCAGGATCCTGTGTTTTCTACCACACACAGCAACAAAATGGTTAAATAATGCATAATCTTCCCTCTCCTTGTTGTGTTGTGTAATCAAAAAGCAACCTTCCCGTATACACAACATGTGGACCAGGTGTGTGTGTGTGCATGCAAGTTTGTGACTGTCAAATAACCTCAGGTGGTTCAGATCTTAATGAAAGCCCTCCTTCAGCAGAAACAACGGCGCATTTTGTGGCGAGTAAAAATTAGGGTCAGCGAATGCAGAGCTAGTCTGCAGAAACAGCCTCGCCGCTGGAGGAACCACACATCACTCCTCAGTGAAAGGTAGCAGCACACGAACTACATCACCGAGTGCATTAACATAGCAGCAAGAGCAAATAGAAGCAGCAAAATGAGGCGTGGGCCTGATTTTTACTGGTGCTACAATGTTGCCTCAGGTACTCATGAATAATAAGATATGTGATAACTAACACTCAATATAAGAAGACAGTTATACCTCACCCTTTTGTAAAAAAAAAAATCATCACATTTTCACCTGTCTTCATCAGTCACCTGGCAACACGTCCCCCTGCCCACACACTCATCCTATTATCAATTGTGTTACTTAGCCTAGTTTAGACTTCATCACACCTTAATGGCTGATGTGCACTTTGCATATATCAGCAGGGGTTTAACCAGAGCAGATCACTGGATCCTCTGTGCTGATGAAATAGGCTACACAAGAAAACAAAGAAGCATCTCAGATCTGAATTCAGTCATATCCTGCACCTCAGAGAGCGGGCTGAATAATGGCCACATTAGGGAGGATTCTCAGTTTCACCTGTGGGGAGAGGAAACAGCACAGAATGCAGCCCAAGCGCATACTAAAAATAAAATTCATATCTGACGGCGTTTCTAGGTAATTGAGGGGATTTTTTTTGACCTTGCGGTACAGGTCCTGGGCTGGTGGGTTACAGCCACAACCCCTGTCACAAGGGAGAATCTCAATCCTTTTCAGATGGGTCCTGGGAGAAGTACTTCAAGTCAACACTGCACCTCTTCAAAGACAGTTTACCCAAAAGAGTTCAGACTCGAGAGTCCACAATTCTCTGCCTGTAAATGATTGAATTTACCTTGCAGATGAAACATCAAGCCAAGTCGGAGGAGGGTGTGTTTGAGCTTATTTCCTCCCAGGAGGGCTGAGAGCATCCTGACAGCGGCTCGCCTAAAATGGGACCGACGGTGCCTCTCGGAGATAATTCAGGTGTCCCGAAGCACGCGTCTTGGCGCCTATAACATGTGACGGCCTGCGAAACCAGCGATGCCCTTCAAGAAATCCATGACCAGCATGTAAAGGACGACTCCTCTCCGATCCGCTCGCACCGGAGATATGTAACTCAGCTCCCCACTTTCGTGAAGAAAAAAAAAAAAAAAAGAAGAATACTGGAAAACGCAACCTGAAGGGGTCCCGGTGTGGCTGTGAGGCTGCAGCTGTGCAGGGGGGATTCGCCTCTACTGCGCATCCGCCTGTAAATGCACCTCCAGAAGAGAAAACGCCTTTTGTAGCGACAGGCTGTTTAATATCTACAGCGCTGTGAGTGACTGCTGCCGTGCGGAATCCAGCCAGATGTTCGTATCGCTTTCACGGGTTTTTGCTGGCGACGCAGGGCTCAGTGCGAGTTAATCCAGATTGACTGAAGGGTTGCTGCCATAATATGCCCCCCCCCCCCCCCCCCCCCCCTCCTCCTTCTGCCCCCGGACTATACTGTCAACCACCGACCCGGCTCCATTTCTGACCAGAGGTGCTGTGCTCGGAATGGTAATCAGCGCGCTCCGAGCTGCACAGAGACCATTTGTGTGCATAGACAGATGCAGTGCCTCCCAGCCTATCTCTCACAGGCAGGCATCATAATTTATTCACGTAGATTGAACTATACTGCACGAAACGCAGTAGGTTTATAATATTCTCTAGAAATGTTATAACAAATAAATAGAGTCAAACACACAGGAGATGAAAAATGCAATAACTAGACCCTAAACAAGACTGTTATTGAAAATCCATCCACTCCTTTAGGTAAAACCTGGGGTGAACAGCAGGCCAACATCTGTAAAGCCAAATATAGCAGCCTATAGTCCTGCATGTATTACATAGATTATTGGCAAGACGTTGTTGTGTTGGCCGAAACTGAAAGCCCTGGCTCCCTGTGGGTCTTCTTGGCACTCAACCCATCACTATCTGATGCAATGATCCTTTGGCCTTTTATGTAAGTTGGCAAATGAGCCCATATGTGCAGCATAAGTCTACTACAGTACAGCGGAGCAGGAGACGGACTCGCAGACTCAGTGTTTTGTTGTTGTTTTTTTATTCCAGAGAACGACACTGCTCCCGGGGCCTCCTGGCACTGTGAAATGGGTGCTAGTTGTCATCCACAGAATTACCCTGGGGATCTCTCCTTCAGATCAATAGCTCCATCCAGTTTCAACATATCCACTTGAGATCAATAGAAATATCCTAAGTGGTTTATGGTTATCCTGAGTTGAAATGGGTAGAGCTATTGAAACTGTTTTTCATACTGTGCCGTGCGTGCACAAATATTTATGTATGAAAAAGTGTTGCACTCATGTTGGGTATACCTGCACAAGAAACCTAGAATAACGACGACAACAACAACATACAAGCATTTTGCTGGTGGGAAGTGTTAATGTCAAGGCCTGCATGTGGCCTCCTGTGACTCATCCGAGTCATCATGAGCAGTTGGTGATATGAAATGACACTGACATGTCTTGGTTTTTGCTGCACTCCTTTACTATTGTGATTCATGTGAGGCGCTCTCTTTCTCTGTCACTGACGCATGTCATCCAGGAAGCGCTGGTAGGCGAGGCCGTCCGCCTGTTCACCTGTCTGGCTCTTTTTTTCCAAGAACAGGCCCGTGCTGTCCCGCGGAGGGTCAGCGATGCTGCGACTCCACGGGGTCTCTGTGATCCCAAGCAGCTCACGCACACGAGCACAGATGACCTGCGGGGGCACACAGCAGGGTTCAGTCCTTTGATAAAGGGTGTGTTTACACAGTATCTCACCTTCACTTAATAAGGTAGTCCCACTGAGAGGGAGAGTGTCTAGTCTTTCCAGGAGATCTCAGCAATGTTGTGGCATCATGGGAGGAAAGGTTCCAAGTTTACACTCCCAAAAACAAACGCATCAAAGTACTTCTGGGCTGACCCAATCTACAGTAGATCTCGACTAAATAGAGCAAAGACAATCCTGACAAAGTCTGTCTGTCTCGAGTTATTTCATTATCAGTTTACACTCACTAAGAGAGACGAGTTCTTCTTCTTTTTCTGGTTTGATGCTTGTACAGTAAAGCAGAGCTGAATACATAAACTCGCTTTTAGCCAATTTAGTTCTGACATCAGGGATGGATAAGAAAAACAGTTGCTTTAACTGTAAGCAGCATATATGTGATACAGCTGATCTGGGGTGTCTGCTGGCAGAGATGCTCGGTTTCAACACTTTAATTGATGTCATAGTGTTCAAAGAAAGAGTGTTAAAGTGCCAAATGGGATGTAAAACTGGTTTGGCACAGACTAAACACCAGTTTACAATGTTTACAGTCCACTTAGAGCTTACAGGAGAGATATTTGAATACATCTGATGTGGCAACTACCAATTACTTCTCCTGGAGGTTAATCTTTTGAATGTTTTTCTTTTTAAATAATCTTTGACTTTATCACGTGATTAAGCAAATCAAGCAAAAACACGCATGCCACAAGTTGCTGAGCCCCAAAGTGATGTTCAGCAAATGTTTGGTATGAGTTAGGCTACTTAAACGATTAATCACGTATCAAAATTTGAATCAATTAAGACAAATTCATTTTTTGATGATAAGAGTGGGTTATGTGGGCCTGCAGTACTGTAGTTTTCACAGTGCTGTCATTATCTTCGTGTTACTAAGCCTGTTGAAACTTCCTTGAACATTGTGTGAGCCTCCAGCTTTGATATGTAAACAAGTCTGTCTCCATAATAACACCAATCTTTCCTGAAGGTTAGAATAAATAATAATAATACCTTCATGTCTTCAAAATCTGTGATTCCAAGTCTTGGCAAGTAGATGCAATTCACATAAATGAGCTTTCTTCCAGTGATGAAGTTCTCCGTGAAACATGCCTACGAGAGAAATGTATAATAATGAGGTTAGATCTTTGAAAAAACAAATAGTATCGTATGAAAGCAGACAGGCACATGTCCTGCAACGGTTGACGTTATACCTGTTTAGTCAGGTGCATGTTAACCTACTTTGTATTGTGGAAATCCTAAAGACTCAATCCATTGTGCAACATCCTCACAACTCCAACACAGGAACTCCAGGTTGCCTGTAGACATGTTGCTATGGAAACTGTTGCCTGCAACTAGGTATTGATAAGTGTTTCCCTCACTGTCCAGTCATAAAATATTTAGTAATATTTAAAAAAATATATATTATTATTGTTGAAAGGAATCTAGGCAACATCTCTGGCTTTAAACTTCAGGAAGAAGTTTTTTAAAAATCTTTAATATGACTCCAGTTTAGTGTTTATGTAAACAGCCAATCAGCTTCTTGCAATGTAGGGTGGTTGGTAAATCCCGCGCAGTGATTGGCCGTTATAATCAGGTCTGTCCCGCCCACACCCAAGCGGAAACGGTGTCACGCGCGGCTTTCACAGATCAACAAACCATGTGCACCGAAGTTGCGCAATAACACCCACACCCGACAGCGTCCTTGTAGCTCTGCGTTGAAGCGCAGCACCGCCTCCGTCCTCTGCTAGCTGGAATTCCAGTTGCTCTCTGGGTGTCTTTTGGGGTCGGGTTGAAGGAGCTTTTGGAGTAGGAAAAGAGAAACTCAACACACCATAATGGCAGCAATTCTCCGGTCCCTTGTGAACAAGAAGGTAAGACAAACAACACGCTCGTGTTTTACACGACAGTTGCTTTTGTTGCACGTTTATGCAACTCAAGATAGCTAACAACCTCAGCTGCTAGCTAACAAAGTCGTTAGCCAAAGAAACACGTTGCACACAGCCCATCCCTACTTCTTTACAAACATTTAAAAGTAAAAGTTGAGTGCACGTTAAGTTAGGTAAGTACGGGTTTAGGGGCAGGCGTTATATATTGTATTTGCATGGTGTGAACACGGGGGGGTCAAGCTTTAATCTGGCTGTTATTCATTAACCTTAGACATTCAGTTAAATATGAATTGAAGTTGACTAATGGTGTCTTAATTATTGCAGGTGTCCCTCCAGCTGGGTCGCATGTGTTACTCGTCATCCTCAGCGGTAAGAGCCCCCACTGACACGCGTTCATAACTCACCAGTCAATGACTTCATGAATGAATGAATGAATGAATGCTAAGTGGTCAGCACATGTTTTTCTACAAGTCCTCAATCTTCTTCCCATGTGCCACATTGTGTTGCATAATGCCATTAAAAGGTTAACACGTTTTTATTTTTGGACACTTGACCTCATGATGTAAAGAAAGTGTGTTTTATTGAAATAACTATTAACATTCAAATGTTTTTGTGCCATGAAACTACAAATAGAGCTCACAAACATCCTGTTTTCTTCTGTCATATTATCACTAAGACGGAATTAATTGTATGTTTAATACAATATCAATATTCAAAACCTAAACAAATAAGTATATTGGTCAACATATGTTATTTAACATAAACATTTTTTATTAGGATCACTACATGTGTGGCCTGGGTATGTACCAAGTGGGATATTTTACAATTGGTTTGAAAAATAAGCTTTTCAGCATTGTTTCTTTCAATGTCACGAAGAGACAGTTTTAAAATACCTCAATTGCAGATTGAGGTACTTCTTGTTACTTATCGTATTTTACAGGATTACAGCAGCAGAGTGGATAGTGCAAACAAGAGACATAGTAAAAACTAGATCAAAACAAGTATTATAAATAAGTAATGAACAGTAAAGAATATTAACTAAGTAAAAAAAATCCACAATAACTAAAAATATTATATATACAGACATCAGATGTCTCCAGATTTTGATTGTTTTTTAACTGGAAATGATTTAATTCGACAAAAATCTCTGTAAAGTTTTTCAGGTTTCAGAGTGAAAAGATTGTGAAAGAAACTCCACTTAAACCTGCAAGTAAACATTTTGTTGAGGCACATTTAAACATGTTGGAGTTCCCAGTAGCATTGCATACTTATTGTAAGACATTCTGAACTCTTTGTAGAAGTTGCACTTTGACTCGTTGCATACTCATTACCTATGTCCCAAGTCCATACCACACACCAACCATATGCAGCACATGTACCATGCACTAAACTTACACTCCGACTCAGGAAAGCCGCTGCCAAAACTTCACAAAGAAAGCTCAACAACACGCTCAAAAGAGTGTTTTAATAGCAGTATGCATACTGACTTATTTGAGTGCACACAATTCTTTTATTGTATACTTTATATACTCAAAAACATGCTTAGAATAAGTCTGTATTATGGGATTGGGAGATGGCTGCGGTACATTAGAAATCTGTGATCAGGAGGACTTACATTTAAAGTCGACAGTAAAGAGATCTAAAACGACTGCTTTAGCCGGTCACTGTATACGCTGTTGTGATGGATAGATGCCCTTATGAACTCAGGCATGATGTAACCAGACAGGAAGGGATTTACCCATATGCCTCTGTGATCCTCTAGCCCACCACCAAGCTGTTCATCGATGGCAAGTTTGTTGAGTCCAACACCTCCGAATGGCTCGACATTCACAACCCTGTAAGTATTCATAGATGAACTATATCCAGCCTGCAGTAACCAGATCTTTACTAAAGGCTGGCTGCAAATAACCAGTACAACTTTATAGTAGTAACTCACTGTATGAACACTGGGGAGGGGGAAATAAAGTGCCAATTTCTAAGAGAGTCTACACAGCCAGTCAGCCTTGCTGTAGTTAAGCTTGTTGTGTATAAGCCTCTAGAAAGCAAGTGAAAAGCAGTGATGGATGATTATAGCATATATGTCAGATAAAATATCAAACCTGTAAAGGATAGAAAACAACCATGGGGTTGTTAATATTGATTAAATAATGCACATGCCGTAATGACTTCTCTTGCTCTCAGTCAACTTGTATGTGTGGACTGTCTCCTGCTCCTCAGGCCACTAATGAGGTGGTAGGACGTGTTCCCAAAGCTACCCAGGAGGAGATGCTGGCAGCGGTGGACTCCTGCTCCAGAGCCTATCAGTCCTGGTCCGAGACCTCCGTCCTCAGCCGGCAGCAGGTCTTCCTGCGCTACCAGCAGCTCATCAAGGAGAACATTGTACGGAAATGTGTCACATGCTTGTTTTCGTTTTTCATCTTTCCCAATTGGGTTTCCATTTTAAGATTACCAATTTAGAGAGCAAGGAAATTGTTACATTTGTTTTTCCTTCACGGATGTCTTTGAAGTAATCATTCTTCCTCTTCGTATTTCAGAAAGAACTGTCTAAACTGATCACCCTGGAGCAGGGCAAAACTCTTGCCGATGCAGAGGGAGATGTATTCAGAGGACTTCGTAAGTAAAGCGTCGGCTTCCCAGTGTGCTATTAGGTTTAGTTAATCCTGATTAGATTAGAGTGCTGGTGAATATATAGCGGAGATCAAATTTCCCCCGTTGAAACTGTTGTCTATAGTGTCTGTATCTTTGGCAGCCCTTTGCCTGGAGGAAAGTTTGGTACTAAGTGGCTGCAGGGTGTCAATTATTTGCATGTAACCAGACACTTCCTGCGAATGCAACTTAAACTTTGAAATGAATAATGAAGCAAGGCTTCTGTTTTGGTCACGTTGACAAATAGAAGCTTAAACTGCTTTTCAAGAAGCTTTCACAGTGTCCAATTATAAGAAAACAAGGTTTAAGGAAACGTTGTCCCTGCAGCATCACATTGTTAAGACCTGATGTTAAAGTGTGACTACCTAGTATGTTTTTATTAAAGCACTCTGGAGGCTCTGCTGTTAGTGGCATGCTATATAAAGATAATTATGCAGTTCCCCTCATTAAGGTGCACTTTGGCAGACCTGCATCAACAAGAATCCTGTTGAGAAATGAAACAAGCCATGCACACTTGCAAATAAAGGAAGATGTGTTTTGGTTATTACAAGACGGAGCTGCCAGAGTATTTTTTTTCTACTTGGTGCAGCTCCCAGTTTTGGGATGCCCGAGTTATTCTGGCATGCTAACTTTTAACTTATCAGCTGAAAGACAGGCTACATGAGCAGGTGTGCTGCCAGCATTAGAGATGTCCTACAAGAGTTCACTCATAGGGAAAATAAATCAATTAACAGTTCGTTTTTGTTCTTAAGTAAGAGAAGAAGTACAAACTGCATAATGCTTTTGTAATGTAGACATTAAATGATCTCATCTTAAATAACTTATATTCATGCATCCATTAATGTGTGCCTCCCATCACTGCACTATTATTGGTTTACATCATCTTTTCTCTTCATCGTCACCCCCCAGAGGTGGTTGAGCATACCTGCAGCATCCCGTCCCTCATGCTGGGGGAGACGTTGCCGTCCGTCGCCCGGGACATAGACACTTACACCTACCGCCTGCCCATCGGAGTGTGTGCCGGTATCGCCCCGTTTAACTTCCCCGCCATGATTCCTCTGTGGATGTTCCCCATCGGCATGGTGTGTGGCAACACCTACCTGATGAAGCCCTCCGAGCGGGTCCCAGGGTGCACCATGCTCCTGGCCAAATTGCTCCAGGACTCCGGAGCACCAGATGGCACACTCAACATCATTCACGGCCAGCATGGAGGTGAGTGTGTGTCTCCCTCTTCATTCAGAAGCTCTGTGTCTGTGTGTGTGTGTGTGTGTGTGTGAGTGTGAGAGAGAGTGAGAGTGTGTGAGAGAGAGATAACCAATGGCAAAAAGTACACGGGTGATTCAAACACTAATCATATACCTCCTGGCAATATGTAGATGGGGAATTTCCATAAAATGTGCAGGCCTATATCTGTAAGTAATTCATGAGTGTTTGAGGAAAGAGGGTTTGGATCTCTGTATTCGAGGCCTTTGTGCTCTCATATTGCCTTACGGGTGCAGCAGCACAGATGAAGAACGGAGGATTTACAGTATCCGTTTGCATCTTTGTGTAGCGGTGAACTTCATCTGTGACCACCCGGCCGTCAAAGCCATCAGCTTTGTGGGCTCCAACACGGCTGGAGAGCACATCTACGAGCGGGGATCCAAAAACGGCAAGAGGGTGCAGTCCAACATGGTACACCAGAACTCACAGTACACCTTTTAACATCCTCAGACCAAATACACTGTTCTTACATTCTGCATTATCAGTCTCGTGAAGCTGTTGTTTGCCATGATAACCCACTTATTGGAGCAAAACTCATCTGTCAATCACGGATGTTTGTAACATATGTGATGAGCTCTGTGCTACATTCTAACTGGAGAGAAACCCTACAGAGCCGTGTCCTACATTTGTCATTTTCAGGGTGCCAAGAACCATGGCGTGGTGATGCCTGATGCCAACAAAGAGAACACCATCAACCAGCTCGTGGGTGCTGCCTTCGGAGCAGCTGGCCAGCGCTGTATGGCTCTCTCCACTGCTATTTTTGTCGGGAAGTCTCGTGAATGGCTCCCAGAGCTGGTGGAGCGCTCCAGATCCCTGCGTGTCAATGCAGGTAACTTCAATGTTAACTGTTTCAACACAAATTAAAAAGTCTTTGTTAAACATTTTGATGTTAGGAGTTTTTGATATAATGTACGTGTCCTGAAGGTGATCATCCTGGGGCAGATGTGGGTCCCCTGATCTCTCCTGAAGCCAAGGCCAGGGTGGAGTATTTGATCCAGAGTGGGGTGGATGAGGGCGCCAAGATTCTGCTGGACGGGAGAAACGTCAATGTCAAAGGATATGAAAATGGAAACTTTGTAGGACCCACCATACTGAGTGGTGTTGATGTGAGATTTGGCCTTTTTTCATTTACTAAAAAGTCTTAATATGATACAATACAGGTCCCAGAATTATATGTTTAAATATTTTAGGGAAAGGGTTTGCTTGTTTAACAGGAGCCTAAAGACTTTGTGTTAAATGCGCTTCTTCCCAGTCATCTCTATGTATTGATATAACCTCAAAGTGTGTACACACTGGTACATTATGGACTGTTAATGATGCCTTGTGGAGTTTTTGTTGCAGATGAAACTCTTAATGTGATCGTTCTGCTGTTCTTTCCAGCCGGGCATGAAGTGTTACAAAGAGGAGATCTTTGGACCGGTGCTCGTCGTCCTGGAGGCTGACAATCTTGACGAAGCCATTTCTTTAATCAACAGTAACCCCTACGGCAACGGCACCGCCATCTTCACCACCAATGGAGCCACAGCGCGCAAATACACACATGAGGTGGATGTTGGCCAGGTGAGAGACGCTTTTGCAAGGGCTGAATAAAAGGACACCGGAGATTGTTAGTCAATTTGAACACTATTCTCTGAACAGAGCTCTGTCAGGGTTTCAAAAAATAAAATAAAAAAGGTCACATTATGCCTTATTTTGGGCCTCAGTGAGTCACCTGTGTGAGTTCACAGTTTTGTTGCTGAGGTGTTGTGTTTCAAAGACGGGAAACGGACATAGACTTCATGCGAAGTGTGAATATTTATCGTAGCAACTTGACGGCTCAAAGGAATGGTGCTATAAAGTATTCATGAAAGTGAAACTCCTCGCTCAGATTTTTCCTGCATAATTTTAACAGTTCATCCTTGTTTCACACTTATTGCCTGCACCATTAAAGAATAGGTTCACAATAGTTAAAGTCGATCTTTAAATGTATGTGCATTGAAATAGTTTTTATTGGCTGTAATAAATCCTCCCCATCTCTTCCATTAAAGGCGTGTTTGGAAGGGATTTTATAAGGGCCCGTAAGAACAGGAGAAAGAATTACATGAACCCAGCCTTTAATTTCAAGAAATAGTCTTTTACTCAGTATTTGCTTTTTTTCCAGTCAGGAATCGGCACATTATGTCAGTTATCGCCTCCCAATAAATAGAAATGATGTCAGTATTGGTTTATTGCCAAGTATGTTTGCACATACGAGGAGTTTGGCTTGGTGATTATTATATTATTGCACTGCGTTCATTGTTATGCACCATAACGATAAACGCAGTGCAATAATATAATGCATAATTTAAAAAGAATCTGAAAATATAGAATATAATAAACAAAACAAAAAATTAAGAATGTTAAAACAAGTGTTATTAAAGTGAATATTTAAAGTGAGGAGTTGTGCAGGGATATGTAAATGTCTGTAATTGTCCTGAGGGTGTAAGAGTCAGTCAGTGGGGGCCCCGGGCCCCGAGTAGGAATTACTAAAAATATAAGTGGAAAAGGGGCTTGATTACCATGAATGTCATTTATAAGCTGAAAAATACAATGGCGTAGTTAATTTCATATAAACTATTAATTTATTTATTGAGTTGGCAGAAAACATGCTATATTGTGATATGAACGGACATATATTGTGATAGTTTGGCCATATCTCCCATCCCTCATGTATTTATTCATTTGTACAGATTGGCGTGAACGTGCCCATCCCCGTCCCCCTCCCCATGTTCTCCTTCACTGGCTCCAGAGGCTCCTTCAGAGGAGACACCAACTTCTACGGCAAGCAGGTAAATAACAAAAAGCGGTTTGTCATCGTAAAAATACTCTGCATCAAGATACAACTACAAACTTGTGAACTTGGGTAGTTGACACTGCGGTTGTCTCTTCACCACCAGGGCATCCAGTTCTACACTCAGATCAAGACTGTGACCTCACAGTGGAAGGCTGAGGACTCCACTCTGACGGGCCCAGCGGTGACCATGCCCACCATGGGACGCTAAGCTGACGGCACATCCAGCGTAACTTTGAGAGACGTCTCATATGCCTTAAGATGAAGACCATGGAGGGAAATGGGGGGAAAACAGGCTACATGTCCTTTTGTTTTTTAGATATATTCACACTGGGGGTTATTAGTTGGTGTTTTTTTAAACTTCATCCATCCTTAACAATGTTGTTGCACAAACAAATGCAAATTTCACCTCATTTGGAGACGCGGGAGATGAACTGGACTGATGCAATGAATGGCGCCGTGAGTCTCTTGATGGGTTTGTTGTGTTTTGTACCCGTTAATCACGCTCTGTTATTTTCATGATCAGTACTATACTCTGGTGTCACGTTTCTTTAAACCTGCAGTAGAATTCAAAAGGATCAGGGATTCTGCCTTTTTGAAGCAATGACCCCAAATGTCTTCCACCATTATCCTGTGTTTTTTTCAGCTTGTTCTGTTTGTCAGAGCATTGTGTAGATACTTGGAAAGAAGATGTAAATGGAGCAAATGCTACATGAGAACAAAAGAGTACACCGGTTCTCTGTTCTTCTGTTAAATCTGAAATAATGGCTGTAGTTCTTGTACCTCTAAATGTATTGTATCCTACTGTCCAGGACTAACATGTGGTGTCTGTATGTCAGAGAGAGGTTCAAAGGTTTTGTACTGCATTGTTGGGAGAGATCTTTTTATTCTGATCATGGATGGTGTAAAAGGTAAATTGCTGTGTTTTACATGACATCTGACATTCTCTATAAACTATTATAATGAAACCGTATGTGTTGCAAATGTTTTCATTCAAATGATATGAGCTACATCAAATTTTACCTAGACTATTTGTGTTTGAAAATTAAGAGATCAAGGTAGTTGTAGTTCACAGTTTGATTAAACTGTAATTGGACTAAATTAAATTCTGATTTGTGTTGCAATGATCCTCTGGTTCTGTTGCTATTCTATGTATTATTCATTACAAACTAAGCCAACACATTGGTATGCTGGGGTAAAGATCTAAATAATGCCTAATTAACTTCACAGACCAGAAGTAGTTGGTAATGTTTGAACTTGTTGTTGTGGTTCATCAATACACAGCCTGTAATTTAGCTGTAAGACTCAAAATACTGTTCATTAACAGAACAGGCTGTATATTTGTGCGCTATCTTGTTTTGTACTAAAGCACGTTTCACTCTAGAGACGTCCATTGGTGTGCACGAGACCGAAACACAGGTGACGTCACGACGAGTCGTCCGCGTGAGGACTAGTCGGACGTACCATCATGGTGAGCTCCGAGTGTTTAGAGTGCAGAAAGCACTTTAAATAAGTTAGCTAACGTTACAAATATCTCTACCGTGTTTTAGTTGTTTGTTCTAGGTACAACACGCAGTAATGTGCGGCTTTTAGCTAACGTAACTAGCTTGTTAAACTTCGGCGCCTAGCTTTGTTTAACGTAGCATTCTTACGCTAGCTGACGTAAGTTACGTCAGTAACGTCAATTGACTGAGAATTAACGTTAACGAAGAGCTATGTAACAGTTAATCCATATAACGCCAGATAGCCGTTCAAAGATACTCCACTTTCATTCCACTAACATAAACAACAACTGTATGGTAACGTTTTATTGGGGGAAAGTGTTGTAAAGTGTATTAAGGAGTGAAAACTAGTAAGCATACGTATTGGATAGACATTATTACGTAATCTACGTTGTTACTTTAGTCACGACAGTTGACTGTTGGTTAACGGCAACGCTAACGTTAGGTATAATGCTAACGTTACCGGTAAAACAGACAAAACGAGCAATTTATATAATTATTTATCACATATTTATTATTATTTATAATACATATATAAAAAAAAATATATATATAATTATTATTAATTGTTTATATTTATTTACAGAATAGCCACATAAAGATCCAGTCTATATACCTCCTATAGTCATGACAAGTTCAGTGTCTTATTCCCACAAACTAGTTCTATCAATTTATGAGGCCTGGTGTGTATTTTGTTGTTTAGCATTTTATAGCAAAGAGTAGCTTTAAATGAGCAAAAATCCAGGCCACAAATTAGAATGATGTCATGCTTAGCTTCTGAAACGTTTCAGTGATTAATAAATAATAAAGGGACAGAGGCTGGGGTTTGTCAGACAGTCCTTTAACACTAAACTAATTCCAACGGTGTGTCTAGCATTTCTATACATTTCTGTGACTTTCTCCAGACTTTAGCTCTAGTTAAAGCAGAGTGATTGTCTCAACAGGGGTTTCTCTCTGAGTATTGCCCGACTGAGGCTTTAAATAAATCTTCCTCACATTAGATATAGTTTTGTAGAGCGATGTTGAGACATGCTTGAGTTTCCGTGTATTGATCAAAGATCAAAGGATTTAAGTCCACCAAACATGGTGTTGATGCGATGCTTTCTAAATGGTTTGGAGGAGTTGACTCAGCAGGTGGAGAGGTTGATTTTGGGGTATGTCTGGTTGGTTGGAGAGTCTGACTGGGTGTGGTCTAATATAAATAACTATTGCTTCTTACGCCTCTGTCGCTTGTCTTGCTGTAATTTAACATCAGTCGGCATCAGTTTGAGCTGCTTCAGCCCCATTTAATAGAATAGCAGCTTTAAAGTGCTCCAACAAGAAGACCTTTCTTTGGTTGACTCTCCAGAGTGAAGATGAAGCTCACCGTGCCACTTCTACTCCTGGTCCTGCTCGCCGCTGCGGGGCTGAGCCGAGCCCGGGTCAAGACCTCTCTCCTGGACTTGACCAACAGCTTTGGGAGCATCCTTTCCAGACTGAGCCGACCGGCGAACCACAGCCGCATCTTCTATGCGGTGATGTTTGATGCGGGGAGCACAGGGACGCGCATCCATGTCTACACCTTCATCCAGAGTGACTCGGGTAATATTGGACGTATTCATCTTTAACACGTGTTATGAATATCTAGGGCGAGGGACGGGTAAAGTCACACGTGCATTTACTGCAGTCAGGGCTTCATGTAATGTATTTGCATGTCCTGTGATCAATTGATTTACAATGCAAACAGCAGAGCAACACACTGATTCGCTCTCTTCCTTTCCTCAGCATTCCCTCTGTCCTCACAGCCTCTACATCGTTCACCACAGGGGGACATAGGTTATACTTGACTGCATTTACTTTTGAAGAAATAATCCTATTTAATATATATATATATTCTGCATATGTATGCTAAGCAGATTTAGGCCTCTTAATGCTTTTAATAGCTGCTGCATATTTGATGTGGACGGATCTTGTATCTTTTTAGAGGAGCTGCCTATTTTGGACAACGAGATGTTCCACTCCATAAAGCCCGGTTTGTCGGCATATGCTGACTCTCCCGAAATGGTAAGTTCATTGTCAAATCGAATCAATTATATTGAGCTGAAGGACAAGGTCCGCCGGCTCTACATTGTGTTCAGAAACACTGCAGCCTCCCTCTGCGGGGAATCAAAGTAAGTAGGAAGTGAGAAAAAACTAAATGACAAACAAGTGAATAGTCAAGCAGCATAATAAGCAACACTTCGAGTGTTCTCTCAACTCTAACTAGTCACCCTGTTTGTCAAAAGGCTGCTCTGAGCATTGTCTGGTTTTTTTAAAGGCTGGACACACGGTGAGGATGTTGCTGAAGGTGGCCAAGAGGACGGTGCCTCGTCTGGAGTGGAAGAGGACTCCACTGGTCCTCAGAGCCACAGCTGGACTCCGGCTGCTGGCCGCAGATAAAGCCCGGGTTCTGTTGGAGCAGGTACAAGAGTGCAGCGGTACAGAGACACGACACACTGTCGAGACCTCTGTAAAGTGGAGCGCAGGTCTTTATCATAGGGGAGCTATTAGGCGCTACGTTGTCTGAAACTCTCGAGGCAAAGTGCAACCTCTTAATCCAGGTAGGTAGCAGGCAGGAAGGGGGGGGGAGCATTTCCAGTGCGATGGCAGGTGGTGCATAGACGAGAGAAAAAGTATGCTTATCAAAGCGGTGTGAGCTTAGTGGGGAAGGCTCTTGTGGAGGGGATAAGGTAGTAATGGATGGCCCTGGGGCACCTTGGAAGATTAATGATACTTTATTAATCCCCCTGAGGGAATTAATGAATCCCTTCAAGCGGAGGGCACCTCTGGATGAGCTGCCATTACAGTAGATAACATTAAGGCCATTTCTCTGCTGCTTTCCTGGGCGCCCTCATGCTCTCCTCCCCCCCCCTCTCAATCACTCATTCTGCCTCCCCTCCTCCTGCTCCTCCTCCTCTACCTCCACAGGTTCAACATGTGTTTGATGAATCTCCTTTTTTGGTCCCAGACAACAGCATCAGCATAATGAATGGCACATATGAAGGTAACGTCTGCCCCGACAAGCAACACATCTGTCACTTATCACAGCCACTCATGCTCTTTCTGCAGCACTTCGTAGGTGGCATCAGCGATGCGTCTGCCCTACTTTGTGTGCTGTGCACTTTCTATAAGGCGTGTCTCTGTTGACTGCAGACTGTTACGCTAAATTGCAGCAGATTACTGCGGCCTTTTGTGATGATGCTTAAGAAAATTGCTCTTCACCACAAAGTTGTTTGTGACCTTAAAAGTCTGTAATTATGTGGTGAGAAATTGGTGTTATTGTCTGTTGAGCCACAAGTGTTATTGATTTGTCAGCATTTCAAGCTTGTTTTTTCAGCATGATAGCTCTCACTCACGTGTTCGTACAAGCCGTGGCCTTTTTCATTTCTGTGATAATTTGTTGTCAGCTTTTCTCTTAAAATTGACTTGTGTGTTCAACCTGAAATTTTCTTGGTTTGCAAATCTCTCTAACGTAGGGATCCTGGCTTGGATATCTGTGAACTATCTGACAGGTGAGTACTGTAACCTCGTGTCTTTTTATAGACCCCCGCTTCACAAATATGTGCCGAATGCATACAACTATGATTTCGTTGCCTAAAGGGGGTAGCTCTGATCTTTATCGGGCTCCATATCTGGATGTTCTTACTCTTTGCTTGCACAGTCTGTGTCAAATAGGGCTTTTGAAGATAGCATCTAAGGTATAACTGATTAGCTCATCTCTGTTGGCTGCTGGATTAAAGCAGGAAACTGTTTTCAGGTCACCTGAACGCACAAACCAAGAAGACAGTGGGAATCCTGGATCTGGGAGGAGGATCCACGCAGATCACTTTCCTGCCAAAGCTGAGGGTCAGTTTTTGTTTTGCACGCTTTGAGATTTCTGTACAAATGAAAGTCTTTCGTGAATCGTCACACACTGTATCCTTCATATTTCACTGTAGAAAACCATTGAAAGTGTCCCTGTGGCTGATTACGTTGCCAGATTTGACATCTCCAACACGTCATTCGAATTGTACACTTACAGGTAACAGATGTGTTGATTAATGCATGTTTCATAAGATATATTAATCTTACATTTGACTGCATGAAGTCAATTCTTGATAAAATCTCTTATTAACCGTAATTTCCATCTGTTTTTTCTTAAATTGGCCTCCAGTAAAATGCCACTGACTTTAACTTTGTAACTTCACTTGCTTTGGTTTTTAATTAGGGGAACTTCTACTGTCTGTGTAGTCATGAGGATGTGAACACTGTGTGAAACCATTTGTTTGGCCTATTTTCAGAATGCCTTACTTGTTACGTACACAGTCTGTCCACTGGTTGGTTTTGTAACTGTACAACAATCCTTTCACTTCATCCAGTTACCTTGGACATGGACTGATGGCAGCGCGACTGGCCACACTGGGCGCTTTGGGTGCAGAAGGTAGTGTGCTGTACGGGGAGGGAAAGGTGCTCCTATGCCATTAGCTGTGGGTCGGTGTTGTTCACTGCGAGTGTGTCTGAGACAGACACTGAGACACAACAGTGAGTCAGTTCTCCAAGTTTTCTCTCGGGTGTTGTTTCCATCCTGGCCATTTCTGCAAACACTGAGTGGAGGAGGTAACAAGAGAGAGATGTTTTTCTTTCTCTGGGATGTACTTTCAAGTCTTTCTCTCTGATAAACAATTCAAGTGAGACCCTGAGATGAGTCACCGAAGGGCTTCAGAGGGAATCATGTCAGTGACTGAGTCAGACTCGCGCCGCGGTGACCAGTTGTGAAGCATTTAGAGCGAGTTAGGAGATTAACACAAGTGACGTCTTAACGCTCTTAACAGGGTTGGAGGGGCGTGTTTTTAAAAGTTCCTGCCTGCCAAAGAAGTTCAGGGATGAGTGGAGTTTTGGAGGGCTGACCTATCAAGTGAGCGGGGACCGAGATGGTACGTTCCTGTTTACCTAAAGTGTAATCAATCAAAGCTACTGTATAAAGAAATCCCCTTTGACTTTTATTGATGAGGTTAAACCTACGATTGTCAGACTACAAATTGTCTGACTACAGAGTGTGAATCTTTTGTGACGATAGAGAATCATCTGCAGTTATTCGGGCTGTCATCGACCAAAGAAATTCTTACTCGTCTCAGACTCTACAATTTTGTAGAGTAATCTATTAGTTGATTTAATCGACGGATCTGTAAGATTGAGCTTCTCTAAGATGAATCATGCAAAAGCACCACTTACAATCTTGTGTTTACTAGAGATGTGCTCACCTGTTTTCAGCATGAACGAGCATATAAATAATCGTAATGGACTCAATAAATCATAGTCGAAAAAGCCCAAAACTACCGATTCCCCTCGCAGTTATGTCTTCAGAGCCCATTAAAATGGACTTGAGTTGAATTACACGTCATGTCGTAATGTTTTTCCCACAGAAGACGTGTACTTTACACCACTGTGTCTGTTTTCTTCCCCAGGTTATGCAGCATACAAGCGTTGTTATCAGGAAGTACTTACGGTGGTGAAGGGGATTATTCATCAGCCGTACCAGCTCGAAGACAGCAATGTATTCTACGCATTCTCCTATTACTTTGACAGAGCTGTGGATGCGGGCCTTATCGGTTAGCACACACACACCCGCTGCACACGCCGTACATAATTATACAGACCTAGCAGGATGATATTACCCATTCCAGTGCAAGACAGAGGCAGGGAAGTGTGAGTCATCTGCACCCGTCTCAGTGGATTTGAAGAGCTATAGGTGTGTAGTTATTAGAGAAATTGCTATCCTCTGCCAGTCCGAGCTGAAAGGGCACACACTCTTTATTATTAATATTATGGAAATGTGCATGTGGATCTACCTTCTTAATGAACGGTGCAGCCTTTAAAATGTGTGGAAGATGACCCCAATCACCTCCTGTTGCAGATGGGGTCCAAGGAGGGATGCTGGAGGTCCGAGACTTCAAGAAGAGAGCTAAAGAAGGTGAGACGGGCAACGCATCCTTTCTGTGACAGATCTGCACCCTGTACTTGAGACACAGCGCGCATCTCAATAGTCTGGACCTGTGTCCTCGCTGCTATCTGAGATCCTACGCTCTCAGCAGAATACAGAGGATCATTCAACCTCACTGACATGACTCCCTTTTGCCTGCTCAGTGTGCAATAAGATGACCAAGTACCCCTCCAGCAGTCCTTTCCTGTGCATGGACATGACCTACATCACTTGTCTGCTCAAGGATGGATTCGGCTTCAAGGAGAGCACCGTGCTGCAGGTGAGCCTTACGCAACACAATCAGCTGGTTCGTGGTCTTGTTTTTAAGGTGGAATAGACACAAAGGAACATTTTCCCAAAGGTCGCGAGTCATTCTATAAACTACCCATGTTTGAAGGTGTGTAGCTCAGACTTAAGAGTTGTTCAAATCAAACTATTGAGTCACATTAAAAGACAAGCATTTTACATTATGATTATTTTTTTCGACACTATACTACGACCTCTTTAACAACCTTTTTACGACATACTTTTTTAGACTTATGATTATTTTATGACATATGACTTTTCTTTCAATAATATGCCTTATTTTATTTATTTTTTTTGTTTTACAACACTACTTTTTACTTTTTGAGGACATTCGAAACGATTTTTTGGTACTTTCGACATTATACGATTACTTTTAAATTACATAGAATACTGACTTATTTTACTTTTGTACTATGTCCTTTTTAAAAATCTTTACAACATATAGAGTTTTTTTCGACATACTATGCTATAACTTTAAAAAACGTTTACAACATACAATTTTTTTTAATACGTCCTTTTTATGACGTACTGTACTATGACTTCTAAGAAAATGTACATCCTATAACTGTACTTTTTTATGACCTATTATACTTTGACTAAAAAATAAATTTTTTATAGTATGTCAAACTTTAAAAAAATATATATATATAACATAATAAAAAAAACTATAGTAACAATACTATCATTTTTTTATATATATATATGTATATATAATATATACATATTACACAATACCAAAAAGTTAATAGAAAAAGTAAACAACACAAAGTTTCGGTTACTTTTTTTTATTTCAATAAATACAAAAGGCATTTGAGTGATCTGCTGCCCCCCCCCTCTAGTTGACCAAGAAAGTGAATAACGTGGAGGCCAGCTGGGCTTTGGGCGCCACGTTGGACCACTTCCACAACCTGAAGATCCACTGAGGCCGCGGCAGGAACACGGCACCGCCTCATCTGACGGCCCCAGACAGCCACCGCTTGTTTCATAAGGGCAGAACCAACCTCACGAGTAAAAAAAAAAAAGCAATTATTCTCAAGTGTAATATATTGAGCTGTAAATGAGCAACGTGTCGTTTTACTCGGAGAACAAGTGAAGCACTGGAGGTTGACGTTTGAGTGATGTTACCAATAACACTCCGTTAATGCAGCGTCGGGCATTACCGGCTACTCGGTTTGTTTGAGATTGATGTTTGTGTGTTTTGCTGGCTTGTTGTGCTACACCAGTGCATACATGTGATGTACAGTGCTTCAGTAGTAGTTAGGGGTAATGGGGATAATGGGGTATACACGTGTCTGGTACATTTAAATTTGACATTGTAGAAGTGGGATTATTTTCTATGAGACAACATCACTGCATTTTAACCTCACTGTTTACAAGGAGAATGTACACGGTCATTATATTTTCATAAACTTTTAAAACCCGTCTCAGTATTTCTTTGGGAGTATTTGTTTTCAAAAAACTTGAGGAAAAAAAGGTTGTTTGTACAAACTTTGCCGTTTCACGCACGTCAAAATAAAACCATCGTCGGTTGCTAATTACAAATATCTACAGGGGTGAAATTCGGCGATTCATCTATTTACACGTAGACGCGTCAGTGTGCGACGTTTCTTGCGACGGCGGCCTAAAGCAGCGTCACCACGTCATCTCCATACGCGTGGCCGTCGCTCGTCATCGTCACCAATTCATGTGGCTGAGAGAGAACGACCACGGAGTCTGCAGAGCCTGGAGGGAGAAACAGAGGAGTGCAGAGAGCAACATGAATGCTGGGTAATAGTGAGACATCGGTCTGTCGGTACGGACCTACAGTCATGAGAGGAAACGGCTTCCAGGGCCACAACTCTACTAAAACCTTTGTCCTTCAGTTTCTGCAAGCTCTCACCTGCTTATACCTTTTGGCTTTTATTAATGCTGACAGGGCAATATGGGAAATAATGAAGGCCATGCAAAGAAACCTAATACTGAGCCTATGAAAGAAGTACTCATCTTTAGGTATTACATATGGAATCTAAGCTTGTTTAAGCTATGAAGTTTAGATCAAAGAGAATATCATTCAAACTACTACTAATAATAATAATAATAATAATAATAATAATAATCCAGTGTACATTGGAGAAACAGCCCAGAAGATGATGTACAACACTGCACGGGGTGGATAAATATAACATGCATCAGAAACCATTAAACATTCATATTGAGGCCCAATAACGGACTGCAGTAGAATCGGCACCGTGTAACTTGTCTGTTGATAAAATATTATCGTGAGTAACGGTTCAAGAGTTGAATAAATCATAGTTGGGTTGCGACCAACCTCTGAGAATAACAACAGCAGGACTGATAGAAAGACGGAACAAGGCCGGACTGACGGCGTGTATTGGCGTTTCCCCGCCACAGCGTGTATGAAGGCCTACCTGGTGATCTCAGCATGGCGTGGTGAAGACTCATGGGTTCCACAGTCGTCGTGATGGTCACCATACCGTCTCCATTCACACCGTCCGCCTCCAGCAGACTGCTCTGCGTCAGAGCCTCTCCTGTACGAAGAGGAGAGCCACACACGCTGTACTTTAATCCACGGTTACAACTTACAGTCGGGAGAAATCGATGTTCAAAACGGTAATCTCGTTATCACTAACTTCTAAGTCCCTTTGACACTTGTGTGGATTTCTTTTTGGATTTTTCGGGGACTGTAGTTATTCCAACACAGACCGTCTACTTAATTATTCATCCAGTCACCATCTGTTTTGAAGCTGCATCTTCCTTTTACTAAAGACGAGCTTCTTCGTGGAGGCTGACCCGAATAAATCTGCTGTTTATAATTACGAGCGCTGGCAGCGGCTCCTCGGTAGTGATGCAGCGGCGGTGCTTCCCCGCTGCTACACATATCGTACAAGGAGGCAGATGTGACGTCTGCTCTCATTGTTTCACACCAATAAAATACATTTATTTAAACCCGTTTTGTACGATTAGACCATATGTTGGAACGTAGAGCGCTCATTGAGAAAGGATTTCCTCTGAAGAGGTAGCGACACGGACACTATGTGAACTTGGGGACGTTTCTCACAGCTGCAGCGGGAGATTTACTCAAGTATCCGATCATTTAACTTGTGAGGTGACGGCAAAGAGACATTTGAGTGAGGCACGAGAAGCTGGATTTAAGTTACGGTGCCACCATGACTTGGTGAAAACTTTCCCCGACACCCAACGATCTCACTCCTGCAGAAGTCTAAAGTCATTCAGCTACCGGCCACGAAGAATGAAAATTTTAAATGATACATTTTTAAGTGCTTAAAGCCGTTAATTATTCAAGAAATGTTCCAAAACAACTTAAACCAACACTATCTCTATGCACATTTTTTAAATGTATGGGCAGCTTGAAGCCACATAATCCAAGGATTAGCATAACCACCTACTGCACCGTGTGTGTGTGTGTGTGTGTGTGTGTGTGTGTGTGTGTGTGTGTGTGGGAAACAGACCTGTTTCTCTGCTTTCACTGCCAAGCCCCTCCTCCCCGTGTCTCTTCCTCATGTGGACGTTCCGGCTGCCGGACTGAGAGAACGTCTTCCCACAGATCCCACAGTGGTGAGGCTTCTCGCCTGGGAAACACAAGGGAGGGTACGTGACAACGCGCTATATCTGCTACCACCCGCGCTAATTACAAAAGAAAAGTGCTCAGCTGTACAGCTGTGAACCCGGTCCCACTCACCAGAATGTACGAGCATGTGTTTTCGGAGACTGGAATACTCCGCAAAGGATCGCCCACAGCCATCTGCTTCACACAAGAAAGGCTTCTCCCCTGAGAGCAGCCACACACACACACACACACACACACACACACACACATATAGATGAACTCAACAATATTAAGACTTAATGTAGTCATTTCTGGAGCCCACGGTGACAGCTGAGCTATTTAAAGGCACTAAAAGGTAACAAATGTAAGCATTATAAGGTAACATTATGGCGCACAGAGAGCTGTTCCTCCAGACGTGAGGGCACAAATATAAACACTGTAAAGTGTAGCTGGCCTCGAGATAGAAGTAGCAGACTGTGAGATAAGGCCATCAAAAAATCTTACCGTCACCCTAAATAAAATATGACAAGAGTACAGTTACTCATTACAGCAGTGAAATGGAGGCGCCAGTGCTGCTGACTCTTCAAATCTCCGGCCATGACCGCGCCAAGGAAGCATTAAATGAGCGGAGTCAAATGTCCTGAGTCAGTTATTGCTTCCAGCGCGTTTCGGGCCCTTTGTACGGCGAGTATCTCTCGCTCCCCCCCCCCCCACCTGTGTGTACGCGTCGGTGGTTCTTCAGGTTTCCAGCCGTGGTGAACTTCTTGCCACAGTTCTTCTCCTTGCAGATGAAGGGCTTCTCGCCGTTGTGGGTCCTCATGTGAACCTGCAGCCTCTGCAGCACGTAGAAACTCTTCCCGCAGCCCTCCGCGCCACACCTGAACATCCGGTCGTTCCTGGGAGCCGAGATAACCAAACGAACAGTGTCTCTCCCGGTGGGCGCGTTTCATTTTCTTTATATAATATAATATTATATAATACTATTTCTTGTTGTATATATGTTGTATGTAGATTAGCGGTGTCTTGTAAAGCTGTTTGTGGACTGAGGACAGTGGTTTGGATAAAATAATCTTCATGAAGAGGGAACAGAAGCACTTTAAAATGATACCTTGTTTTTCTAAAACCTGAAATATCTGGGTTGCATTTTGATTCAATAATGGCTTCGACGTTTCCATTAACAGCTAAGATAATTGCGAGTGTAATTACTTGAATAAAAGCAGTAAGCTCAATTAGCTGCAAGCTTGCATTATTATTTTTCAATTTGGAAAATTGATCCTCGAAAGCCAGGATTATCACAGGTTCATGCTTTGGAAATGGCTTCTTGTTGCAACTGCTGCCTGAATCCATTACGTTCCCTCATGTGTGTGTGTGAGAGTCATGCTACCTGTGTGTTTTGAGGTGGTATTTGAGGTGAGCGGGCCAGGTGAACGTCCTGCAGCAGCCCTCAAACGAGCAGCGGAGGATCTGCTTGGAGAGCGGGCGGCTGGCTCTAGACTGCAGCTCTCGCTTGTCCCCGTCTGCTGTCAAACTGTGTGTGTGATCACCTAGGAAACAAGAGGAAGGAAGCAGAAAACAATAAAGGAGTTGTGAGGTGGCCGGTCCCCGGGGCCCCCGGCTGCAGCCAATCACATCGAGTACCGAGACCTGCCGAACAAACCGCAGCCCGAAAAAGAAACAACCAACCGAAGCTGAATGCAATCACTCCCTTTTCACCTGCCCGGACCCCCCCCCCCGCCGTGAATGCATTTAACAGGTCGAATTCAGCTTACGGCGTGCCGGCAGTAATGCATCTATAACGGATACCCCACTGCTGAGGGAACTAGTCTAATCTACAGCCAGTTAGTGGGAGGGCGGCCGTCACACTGGCTGAGAGAGTGGAGTTTCAGTCCCACACTGAAACCACTTGCAGTCTGCTGCAGACATTTTACCCGACAGTGAACCAATGATTTTACACCCCTTCTAGCTCAGAATAAGACACGTTTTCTCAATGTGCCACAAAGTGTTCTACACACCACGCTTTGCTCCCTTTGATCGTGTCGAAGGCATCCTAAATAAATGTTTCCTTCCTTCCTTCGCTAACTGTTCTCACTCGACAGAAAAATAATGAGGTGGAAGATAAATGTTGAGAGATCCTAATGAGGGAAGAACACCTGTGCTAAGAACGTCCATCTGAACATAAACGAGGTTACACGATCGCCTGACAACATGCAGTGATAGTGACGCAGCAGTTTATGCATTCCGAGTAGAAGAGCATAAACCAGTGAGATCACGGTCGGGGAGGGAGGACATATACTGGGAGAGAGCACAGACGGGAATAAACTTCACTCTCGTGTCTTTTTTTCTAAGCAGGACCTCCGGCTGCAATTGGGCTCAGTTCAAAGATCAGAGATGTAGCTCGGAGTCGTGGTCTCTTGAGGTCACGGGCAAATCATTTTTATCTATCAGGTAGCTTGTAGAGGGAAGTTAAAAGAGAGGTTGTGATGAAGTCCGGACTCCTGGTGTGGGTCAACAGCTCGGTGCATGATCAGAGAAGATAGCTTCACAGTTAAAAGAGTGAGAAGAGGTTAAGAAAAAGTAAGCAAGCAAGATGTTAGGATTTTTGTCAAGTGAAGAAGTTGGATTAAACAACGTTTGATCATCATGAAAAAGTATAAAAGTCATAAAAAGTCATATTATAGTATGTCTAAAAATGTAAAGTCATAGTATAGGATGTTGTTAAAACATCATAGTATAGTATTTCATTAAATGTTATACTGTCTTTGAAATCTCGTGTCCTGTGTTGTCTGTCTGGTTACTTCTCTTCCCTGACGTCTAACCTGCGTCTGTCTGTCTGATCCCCACGTTGCCTCTCTGCAGCATTAATCATCAGATCATCAGACACACTGCAACAACAAGTGCTGAAGCCCGATCAACACTTCACCACAATGTGCCGTTTAGATCTCCGCTTGCTGTCAGACTTGTAAATGTGTGAATCTGTGACGACAAAGTTACAAATTCCTTTTGATTTGAGGACTTTTGATGAGAAGTGTTGAACACAGTCTCAGTCCGTGTTGATTAATCTCATCACTGATCTCATTCCTCGTCTTTCTGTGTCTGATGCCGTCTCCAAGTAGACCGGTGGATCTTATCTCACCAGAACTATGTGCAGCTTCTTGTCAACAGTCTTTATTTTCTTTCTTTTAATGTTAAATACATCAGACGGGTTGTGATGGACATGCAAACAGCCCTGCACATATACAAGAACAGCAGCAGCTTGTTCTGAGGAGTCTTTTTTTGTGACTTTACCGTTACTGACACTTGCAGCTCTGGCGTCCTGGCTGGCCTTGGCGTCTCTGGCGAGCTGTGCTCGCGTTGCGGCGATCAGGCTGTCGTGTGCCAGCTCCTGCACCCGCAGGTACCACGGAGCGCTGCCGTCGATCCCGTAGTCCCCTGACGAGACCCCCTCATCGTCATCCTCGCCGCCGCCGTCTGCGGCGAAGATCAGGGACTCTGAGGAGGCTGTGATGCCTGAGAGGGAAGAAGAAGAAGAAGAAGAAGAAGCGGGAGAAGAAGAAGAAGAAGAAGAAGAAGAAGAAGAAGAAGAAGAAGAAGGAGGAGGAGGAGGAGGAGGAGGAGGAGCATGAATTCAAAGCCAGTGCAACATTCTGCATGAGCGTCAATGGCCTGAGCCCCTCGAGGTCACAATTCTGAATTATTGTCGTCACGTCATGCTCAGCAATGTTAGAGATTCATTCTGAAAGGCTGAGAGGAAACATTGAAAAAGTACATAAACACGATTCTTCTTTATTCATGATTTGAATTCAATGCCACAGGAGACAGAAAGTGATTCTTGTTGCTGAAAATCCTTTTCTATGCTTCTCGTCGCTCACTGAGTCACAGACAGAACACGGCGCGCTGCACAAAAGCTGCATGTTAGAGACTAAAATACATTTTTTCGGGCTGTGCTGCCAAAAGGTCCGATGAACCAAGAGAGCGTGTTTGCAAAGGATCATTTCTTCAGCCCAAAAATAAGTCACGACTCCTCGTGAAAATGTGTCACCCCATTTGCTTTCTAGCATCCCGAGCAAGACACGAAGCGCTGACACACGATCAGATTTAGAGTCGTTAATGAATACACCGGGGACTCTGAGGAGGTTTAAGGCTTGGGTTTAGAGCTCCTTACCTTTTGCGAGGTTCAGCAGGACATAAGAAGTGCTGTCTGACTGCTGGAGGTCATGGAGGATGGGGGGGGGGCTGGGCGGGTGAGAGTGCGTCTGGACCACCAGCGGGCTTCGCCCTGACACCCCTGTGAACTCCAACAGCGACGGAGAACTCTCCGGCTCGTGGCTCAGGCCTCCATCTGAGGAGAAAACCAGCGCTCGTTAGTCGGCGAGTCAATATCCAAAATAATCAAACTATGGTTTAAAAATAGGAGCGATTACTTTAGTGGCACAAACATAGATGTAAAAATAACACTTTCAATTATGTAACGGACAAATATAAACACATCTGTGTTTGCTTACAAGAAAACACCACAGGGTACCTTTAATGTATAAATACCTCCATTCTTAAATCTATTGTTAGTTACATCATTCCTCTCTAAATGTTTTTACAGGGAACCAGACACGACGTGTCCTAATGAGCATCTGTCCATCCAAATGGAGAAGCTGTGGGCGCTGAAGAGTCTAAAACAAATAATAATAATAATCCTATTTTCTGCAGCAGTCAGGGAGCTCGTCGGATCTAAAGGGAATCTTGATCCACATCTAAAGAGCCTGGAGATGTTGTGAAACAGGGATAATATCCACAAACCTACAACACTGTGAAATGTGTGTACAGAGATGAAGGAGAGCCGGCACAGTCGGGGATTTTTAATTCTTATTGACGTTCTCATATTTCTTTATGCATTTTGAACTCTTATTACTCAAATCATACTTTGAGCTAGAAACTCCGTTTAGACTTTAAAATGTTCCACAACTTTCATACATTGAGTATTAATCAACTTTTAAACCTCGCTTTTTAAAATATGCAACGTTAGTTGAAGCGTAGTAAATGTAGTAGATGTTTAGAGTTAAAATCTTCTTTAAAAATGATCTTAAACTCGCTCTCATTCCCACAGTTTTTACTCTTTGAATATAATTGTAACTTCAACGCGAAGAACAACATGTGTTCTTTCATACAATGTAGCAATGGAAGCAAACAGACTTATCAAATATGGCAACGTTAGCCTGAACGTGACAGAGCACCAAGGAGCGAGAGAGAGAGAGAGAGAGAGAACGTTACAATAGAGTGCTGCAGGAAGTCCTAAAACCAAGAGATGAGTCAGCATTTTTGCAGTTCCTGTTCCCTCACTTTGAAATCAGCTGTTTTGTTTTAATGAGTTTCTGGTTAGATGCCTGACATAATAGATTTTAACATTTTGTGGTAGGATATAAAATATGTCAGTAAATATCCTTCTTGTGAATGTTGAAGCTTAAAAACGTTGGTTGCAAACAAAAGACTAAACAACTAAACGTCATCACGACGACTCGTCCTTCACAGCCTCGCTGTGTTTACTCGCTCTCATTCGACCGAGGTGGACTTCGTTTAAAGCCCAACGTTAACTTTTTACTTCTGTTTAATGCCTTCGTGCTTAAAAAAAAAACATAAGGTGGCGTTCATTTGTGAAGATTATCTTTCCATGTATAAGTATCGTACACTTTTGTTCGCTACGGAGCTTATTTTTTCTGCAATAACCCAATTTTGTGGAGGGAACCGGGTCAAAGCTGACATCCTACACAAACACGTCACCCCTGCAGCACTACATGTTCCACATTCACGCATTATTCAACTTTTAAAGACAACAAACCGGTTTAGCACATCCAGCAGTAACAGAGGACCATAAATATTCATTTGTAGTCGTGTTTCGGGCCGCCTGGTGAAAGGAATCCAATATCAACTCTCCTTTAGTTCTGTATTTGGTCTCTACCAACCCCTGAGGACAATATCTGGCTTTCTAGCTGCTAAAGACTCCACTATGTATGTCAGCTAGTCACGATCTGTGTCTGTCTGCTGTTTGGTGCAGAGCAGGTAGAAGCAAGTAGCTGCCTACTGCATCCAAAAACAATGCAGTGAGAGCGGTGAGAGCCGAGATGGAGATGCAGATCCAGTTGATGTTACTCTGTAAGTTCATCAAGTGAGTTGCATACTACCGCTAGTTCTTTGGACCTGTGGAGGACAGAACAGGAGCAGTGAGAGGCTGCTCACCTGTGAGCTCCAGCGGGCTGCACAGCGAGCTCTCCGCTGGACTCAGCAGAGGCAGACACGAGTGTTTGGACCCCAAGTCCTCCAGAACCTGCACCAACGGGATGGACGCGTTCTGCACAAACTGCACCAGCAGCTGGATAAAAGAGAGAAGAAGAAGAACCACAGCATGCAATGAATGATCGACTCTTATCTAAAAGCACGACGGTGATGACAATGATGAACTCACCTCTGGTTTGGAGTCGAGCTCATCAGAAAGCATGGGTCACCCTGTGTGGAACCTGCAGACATCAACACTGACCCACCAAACGCATACACACGTGTTCCACGAGTCAGGCTCAGGTCTGATCAAAACATCATGCGTACCTCAAACTAGACCTGCTAAACGTGAGACTCTCGGTCGGTCATGAGGATGAGGTGCAGGTCATCTTTGCGCCAAAACCATCGCACAATCTGAGGGCAAATAAACAGATGAGAGGCTATATTGTTAGCTAGCAGGGTTAGCAGTTACCAAACTCGCTACCGAGGCTAACAGACAGCCGTTAGCTGCCCGGTGTCAAATACCAACGGCTGACGATACACTGTACGTGTATTTAACGTCGTTAAATCGTTGGTAACGTGACATTATTCCGTTTACCTTGTTATTAGTTGTGTAACTGAGCTAAAGAATGTAGTAAGAGTCCTATTCCTCTTCTTCTTCTTTGTTTTTTTTAACGTGTAGCTGACATTCCTTGGTGTCGCATTACCGCCACCTAGTGGAGGGAGCTGTCACCTACAGCTTCTGGGTTTATTATTATTCCCTTTTCCGGTCTCCGCCGACAGATGTTGCGTCGTCGGCGCCACCTAGGGGTCAAAACTATAAACTACAATGTAAAGAGAGAAATCAGAAAAACAGAAAGTTATTGAAGAATGATTAGGTCTAGAAGAAATATACATGAATTGATTACATAATTGTTTTTTATTTTATATATTAAAGCGGTGGTGTACAGAGGCTGCAGCCAAATTCAATGTATTAATAAGAAACGGATAAAAAGATAATTTGCTGCACATTAATCAAGATCAAATGGTGAATCCTCTGTATTTTACCACATGTGTACAAACTCCTGTCTAGTACTACTGGTATCAATGTGTCACATATGTTTTTATGATTCAGGGGTATTTACAAGTACAGAGATTGAGTTCCAAAAATGTAAAGAATACATTTCCAAAATATTTGACTGAAGAGGAATAGATGCATAACAGGCTTTGTGGCTCCTGGCGTGTACATATCTTGAGTTCCACACATTGTTCACAGTGTTTGTGATGTAAGAGCAAACATTTAACTTCTCACTTTCTCTTTGCTCGTGCAATGAGTGTGTGGAAAACTCCCAAAATAAACATCTGTCTTCCTCCTTCTCACCTCCATCCAAGATTCAAAACTTAACGCTCCTTTTAGTGTTTGTCTGAACTGATACACTACATAAAGCAGTACCAATAATCTGGAAGAGATTAGGCATATCACATCATACCCAACAAAAACTGATTCTTTGGAATGACATTTATTATACCAGCAATGTATGACAAAAAGCATGTTACATCAAACCTTGATTGTTATAGCTGAAGTACCGTTATAAGATGTTCCAAACTGTTAGACATGAAACATGTTTTTGTAAAGTCCCACAAGGATTTAAACAGCTTTCTGCATTTATGTCTTTAGTACAAATGATTGCCAGATAGCCCCACTACGTCCATTAATAGAAGTGTTCATGTTCCCACAACAATTCACACTGTTTCACGTTAAAAAACAAATTATTTGAGCTAAATATTTTGTACGAGCAAAGCCGGTCTCGACTCTTTTTCAATTAACTTCTTGTCTTGAAAGTTAAAAACATGACACATATATTTAGAGACTTGTAGTTCAGTCACAGAAGCAGTAAATTTAACTTTAGATCACAGTGAGCGGAGCTACTTTATAATATGTTGATGCTTTATTAAAGGCTGATGGCAGCAAATGAGGAAACCACCTAAAAAAAAGACGAGATGACCGGTGTGTCATTTTCAGCAAAAATGTCATTGATCTTTTTATATTTCCATATAATTTATTCCACTGGCAGTGAACCAGAATCGAAAAACAGCAAGATCTCATTTCAGCAGCAGCCTACAGGAACCTTTAATTAAGAAAGAAAAACATTAATACCAAGAATATATCCCTCATCTTTCCTCTGATTGAGGAGGAATTGTCTGCAAAAGTAGAAATGAGTTGTGTAAGAAGTTTTGATCTCGTAGTTTGAGTTTAGATGGATTTATGTTGCTGGTGGAAGAAATTCACAATAAGCATCGGTAGAGGCTCGACGCTGTGGCTGTTAAAAGAGCTCAAACAAGCTGACGTTTGCATTTCACCAAAGAAAGACCAAAATAGTGCCGGTAGTCTCGCTGCTGTGCCATATAAAAAGGTTTTCTTTTCCATGAATCAAAAAATATTTTCACAATGAGCCAACTGTGCTTTGATTTGAGGAAAAAGAAAGTGACTCACTTAAAAGCCACGTGGGTTATGTCATGAAAGAATTTCTATTATTTCTGCAATTTCTTTTTTCTCTCGTTTGGGAAACTCGCGTCATTAGCAAACCAGCACAAAATAACACATGTAGCTTCCTTCATGAATGAATTATGGGCTTGTCTGAACATCTGCTGGATAAAAAAAATAAAACTAGTACAGTCAGCATGTTTTTCTCTGTGTCTTTGGCTGCTTCACAATCGCTTGAATCACATTCATCATAGTGGGAAGACACAAGATGCTCGGAGCACTGGACTCAGACTCCGAGCAAGGCATCACAAAGCTCTTGTTCCTGTAGTTCTTTCTTTTTCAAATAAAAGAATAGAAACCTGGACTCATGAGGCCTGAAGCTGAGCTGAGCATCAAGAAAACTGACTGCTCCTGTATGACACATTCATCCAAACATAAAAATCTGCACTGAAGTTAGAGTAAACACAAAAACAACCCCAAAGAAGTGACTGATGAACTACAGGAAGCACGCAGAGATGTTATTGGAAAATGTGCTTTACTTCCAGCCAGTTTGTACAGTAACACAGCCGCCATCAACATGATGGGAACGCTCAACTTGAAATCATCAACGTGCCAAATCTTTCACATCAAGTTTGAAAATGCAGCAAAAAACTAAAAAAAAAAAAAAAAAAAAAAGACACTTTAGGCATGTTTGTCTATTTATAGACGCTGACTGGACACATTCTACGTGACATGAGAACGTTTACTTTGATATTGTAAGTGCTGAATAAAGTAATTCATATTATGTACACACTTTGGCGGATGTCTGTTAAGCAGTATGAGTGGAACACAGCTTAGAGAACTACCATGAATGATGCAAAGACTGTTGTCAACTTAACTCAATGTAGTGAGACAGTCTGTCCCCTAGCATGCACTGTTAAATTAAACGTTTACACATCAGGTCTTTAAGCTTTCAGATTCGGAGCCTGTATTGTGCTGTCAGTTTTGCGTTTGTTTGCCGCATCATGTTTTGGATCCAAATCTCTCAGAGTCTTGATTGCAGATCAGTGAGCTGTGGCTTTGTTGGACCGTAGATCCCGAACATAACAAGCAGGTGGATGTTTGGATGATTAAGCTCGTTGAATCGGTGACAGAAGCCATTAAAGAGAGGACTGTGTGACCGTGCAAACCTGTGATTAGCTGCCTTTTCACAAATTCTGTAGCAAAGGGGTAGCATTGTTTGCTTTGTTTCTTGCATTACAAATACAGACTGCTGACTAACATCACCTCTCACACAGGTTCAGAACATATGTGCATGTTGGCAGTCAACTGTCCACCAGCTACAGTCTTAACGAGGAGTTCAAGTGCAACTTTTAACAGTAACAAAAAGTCTTTATCCGCACCAATTCTTTGAGGTTGGCTTGGTGTGTCAGGACCCTAAGGCAGCCCAAATGTAGGCCACAGGACTGTGGGGGGATGTGTATTGCGAAGCACATTACTGTCGGTCCATCTGTCTCTATACACTCCAACCCCCCCCAAACCATGGCCTTCCTGTCCCGATCTCAGTCTAAAGGATTACTGCCCAGCACTAGTCTGGGTCTAATCTGCCTTTAAGCTGGTCTGAGCAGCTCTCTCCCTCCCTTCCTCTCGGTCTTCCTCCTGTAGCTCGGCCTGCAGCTTAACCCAGACGTCGGCGTCTCCGCCACACAGAGCCTGAAGGAACAACTCCGTGTGTTCTTTTAGCCGGTTTAGATCGCTCTGGGTGCGTCGGTTCTGCCGGTGCAGCTCCTTGGTGCGCAGCGCGATATCGAGCAGGCCAGATTTGCTCAGGATGTTGTACGTGTTGCAGAAGCGCTTCCTCTTTGCATCGACACCACTGTCACTGTGTTTACTTTCTCCCGATGAGCCAGTGGCTTGAGTAACAGACAAGGAGGTGGAGATCTCTGCCTGGCTGACAACAGATGAAGGCCTCTCACTGGCAGGGCTGCTGCTGGCACTGGGTTCTGTTGTGGGGAGAGAGAGTCGGCTCTGGTCCAGAGGAGACGTGGTGCTGGGTGTAGCGGTTGAGCCAGAGTTACTAGCACCACCACTCAGGTTTCTCTTCTGCTTCGGTCTCTGACAGTGTTCCCGGTTGTTGGAGCTCAAACTGCTGCTACCCCTCTCTGACCCAGAAGAGGAGGAGGAGGAGGAGTGAAAAGAAGACGAGGTGGAGGAAGATGAGGAAGCAGTTCCTCTCCCTGAGGAACTCGAGTCCCCGGGATGTGGGGCGATCTTGGGGTAGGATTTCAGGATTGGAAGATACTTCTTAGGGCGCCTGTGTCTAGAGGAGGTCTCTTTGGAGGCTGGGGAAGCTTGATGAGAGACCACAGGCTGAAGAAAGACCACCTGAGGCTGCTGGACCACCGGCTGAACCACCTCCACTGTGGGACTAAACCTCCAGGGCTTCAGAGCAGGAGAAGTATCTCGAGGCTGCAAAGGCAAAGAATTCAAATCTCTCTCTCTCTCTCTCTCTCTCTCTCTCTCTCTCTCTCTCTC